ATTTTAAAACATCCAACTGCCAGCATCTTAAACAGCTATCACTGTTAAAAAAAAATAAAAAATGTATTTCCACAATATTTTAAAGTAAATGTTTCAAATGAGATTATACTTTAAATCCACTAATATTCCTCAAAGTTTCAGAAAACTATTTGTTAAAATTTTTTTAATAAAGAGAATTACATTCCAATGAATGAAAGCTAAAAATGGTACTGAAATAGTTTTTATTTTTAGCAAAAAAAAAAAAAAAAAAAAAAAAATTTCAAAATTCAACAATTCCTTCCAGTCAATTTAAATTAGAGTTGAAATAAAGCAAAGTATTTTGTTTATTGGAAATATTAAATTTAATCTAAGATTTTTCAATTTTAAAAATGCGTTTTAATAATCAGATCAGTGGAGGTAATTTTTTTTTTTTTTTTAATATGCCTTAATCTTAATACTGGCTCAAGTCATTACCACAATAACCATATTGTTTTAGTGCTTTACAAATTTCCAATCTTATATTTATAAATAAAGATGCACAACTATTTCTCAACCAGGACTCATCTAAGATTTAAAGTTACAAATTTTCAGTTGGGTCAAGATGTAAACAGCTTGATTACAGATTATTCAAAATAAGTATACATATATTTCTAGATAAAAGTTTGATACAAAATTTTTTGATAGAAAACACCAACCAAATGGAGCATTTGTCAATTAAAAGACTAGCGTTGTTGCTTTGGTTTTTTAAAAAAATGTCAAGTCTCTTCAGGTTCATTTTTATCTGTAAATTGCCATTATTTCCTGGGGATATTTTCCCCCAGGAAATCATGGCAATTATGGCAAAGTTTTCCATTGCTTTTTTCATGGTTTTGAATTCATAATAGTTCTCTTTGAGACTGGCAGCTGCTCAAGGATAAAGATTAAAGTTTATTCTATTATTTAACCAATATCTGGAGTAGAGATGGATTCATGGCTTTTTCAAAGGAATCAGTGCAAAACTGAATGCAACAAAGTGAATTTGAACCTGCATTCAAATAAGGATGTAACTGGTGTTAAACAGTAGACATTAATCAACACTTTATAACTTTCTATTCATAACAATGATTAGGCACAATAAAAACTAGAACATTCAAAATATTTTTAGTTATAAGAATTCCACATAATTTGAAATAGGTAGGCCACCAACTTCATAAAAACAAAGTTTTATCATCAAAATGTCTTATTAACAGGAAAGACCAAAGTAGTTTCTCTTTATTATTATTTTATTAAATTTTTTTTAATCCTTTCTAGCATGTCAAAAATTGTTTGTGTCTCAGCAGTGGGCCAAAGATTACTATAAAAAATTTGGCATCTTTTTTGCAGTAAAAAAGAAAAAAAAATTAAAAAATACATTTAGAAATTCTTGCAAAAATTAGATAATTATCAGGTTTTAAATAAATATCCAAGACTTATTTGCAGATGAATTAAGCTATTTTTTTAATTTTGTTTTAAGAAAATTTAAGTATTTTTTTTTTTAAACATGTTACCACACACACTTTAATTTAAAATTCCAGGAACTTCATATCTTTATATTAGTTAAAAATGGAGAATTTAAAATCAATGTTTTTGTCAAACAAGTTATCAAAAAATCTGTTCAGAATTGTAAAATAAAAATGCAGTTACATTACTTAGAAAAGCATTTATTGCTTTTTTTATAAGATATATTAAAAACAAGTGTCTTCAGAAAAAAATTTTTTTTGAATGAATAACGAATTTCTACAAGAATTTTTTAAATTTTAATTAGAAAAAGTCATTTAAGTTTTAAATCTTACAATTCCGTATTAATTTCAGGGGTTTTGATAATTTTTTTTAAAATAAGTGAAAATATATTTACTAAATCATAAATGGAAAAGCTTAATACAAATCTTCAAACACCAATATTTTTCAAAAAATTAATGTGTGTATAAACGTGCCCATTTTTTATGAGCGACCATACACATCAGAAAATAAGAGTGATGACTATATAGTAAAATAAGCCTTAGATTACAAAAATATTTAAATTAAGATTACTGAGTAGTTAAAAATTATATTAAAAAGGCGCTCACGTCATTTTCTTAAATTATGTTTTTACAGATAAATTCTCCGTAGAACAGACCTATCATCAGGCTGCCAACACGTAACACAACTACCGTAACTTAAAGTAAATTTGTTTCAAATCAGCAGATTTGAAATCAGCCAATATTCCTCAGTTTCAGAGAAGTATATTTTATTTTTACACGATTTTAAAACCGAGAACTAACTTGTGTTTACAAATGTCTCAAAAATGGACGACTTTGTCGATGTTACTGAAAAATAGAATTAAAATTTAAAATCGATTCCAATCAATAATTTCTGTTTGAAAATAAGAGTATTTTGCTTTACTGGAAATATTAAATTAATCGTTTAGCTTTCAATTAAAGCTAAAATGAAAGCTTTTTCATTTTTAAAAATTTAATTTTATTAAATCAATTTTTTAAAAATGAAAAAGCGCGATACCTAAGAAGATTAAAAATAAAATTGTTAATCTTTTCATCGCGATTTTTTTGTGGAGGTACTACACCTACTTAGAAACAGTATTCCAACAAACATTTTGTTAATCTTTAATGAACATTTCAGATAAAGTTAAACCCATTGATATTGAAGTACGATTTGTGAGAAAGTAAAAAAACACTTTTATTTTACACCGGCCTGCAATTCAAATGATAAAATTTGAAAGTAAACTAAAAGTTATTTTAATTTGATATTTTCAAAGTTGTATAGTTAAGAAAAAAAATTGATTCATTCACTGAGAAAATGTAATTTATTTCACTAACTCGATTTCGGTAATAAGCAATGAAAGAATATTATTTTACTGCTGATGTGAGTGAGTGTAAAAAAAACTAAACAAACACTAGATGACGAAACGACCCCACTACCTCATCCCCCCGTGAACAATTTTTCTCGATATTTAAAATTATATTTAAAAAAAAAAAAAAAAGAAAAAAAAAAGAAATCTAAAAAGTGATTTCTTTTAAGTATGTTAAAAAACGAGAGAAGTTTAGTGAGAAGTAATAGCTACTAGCTGTATTTTTTTAACTAAGATTATAATTAGTTCACTGGTAAAGAAAAAGATTAGTTTTTTGGAGTTTTTTTTTTTTTTTTTTTAAATCGAAATGCTAACGAATTGAGAGTGGTAACAAAAGCCAACATTTTTTTTTTTTTTTTTTTTTTTTTAAACTACAGGTGTAACTGGTACTTACACAAAAAAGGTACATACAAAAAACAAAATTTATCAAAAAGTAAACCATATTTTAATTAAAGTTAAACTTACGACTCTAAAATTGAATTATTCAATGGGATTTATTCCCAGGAAAGTTGAATTTTATGAAAATGTCATAGGAAATAAATTAAAAATCCAAGTCATGAGATTCGGTATTCTTAGACAATTTGTTCACGTTCCAGTAGTTAAACTAGAAGACAGGAATTTACAAGTAAGAATCCAACAGTTTTTTGGTAACTTTTTTTTTTTTTTTATTTAGTACGCAGTTGTTTCTTATGGAGTGAAATAGCGGGGAGAAGAAGAGTAACAACTTTAAAAAAATAAGAAAATAAAATTCTAGAGTTGGCTCAGAAACTGGACATTCACTTTTAGTTTTTTTATTTATCTCGGAATAAATTTCAAATTTTAAGTGGTTCGTGCCTTAAGAATTGAAATAACCCGGTTAACGATCAAAACTTTTCTAACTGGAAAATGTTACTACACAGGATAATTGTTTATTATTTATTTATTTATTTAGGAGTGTCACTTTTACTGCAAGAAGAGCTAAAAATATGTATCTAACAGAACACACACAACTACTTGTTAAAAACAAGAAGCTTGGGTTATTTTTAAGAACACTGGTTTAATAAAAAAAAAAAAAACGAAAAAAACTCAACCTATTCTGTAATTGAAGAATTACGTAAAGCAGATTTATAAAATAATTATTACAAAATATAAGAATTATTTTAATACAATAGAAAGTTTTTCATACTACGTGTAGATTCTCAAACAATAATTTATGATCAAACACAAAATGCGATTATTTTTTATTAATTTAACAAATGAGTCATAAGAAATCCATATTAACCAAACCCAGGATGACATACTCGCCTTTAACAAACTATCAATAAGAAAAAAAGTATAATTAAAGAAAGAAACAAATATAGTCAATTAAATCGAAATGGATTTTTATATACACTGGTTACGTTAATAACTTACAATATGGCTACAGTTGTTCATAGTTGGATCATAAAACGTGGTGGATGCATTATAGAGAAGTAAAATTAAATGAAATGGTATATTTAGGATAGACAAGAAAAATATTTTTAAATTTTGCAATTATTATGCGTGTTAAGTTCTGGTTTAATAATTTACTTTTATTTAAAAAAAAAAAAAAAAAAAAAAAATCTTTTGGTTACGCTAGAAGAGAATAACGTGAAATTGATCCTCCATTAGATGTCCACTCAACATTCAAAAGAAACGAACATAGGTAAAACCTTAGAGGATAACCAGTAAATAAAAAACATTTTCTAACAGGTTAAGTAAGTTATTTTGACAGGAGATATCAACAGCGAGTATTAAGTGAAAAGGAAAGGTTTATGGAGTTCAGTTAATGTTACTCGACTTTAAAGATGCCCACGATTCAACATTTTTTACAATAGACTTCTACTAGCAACATGTGTTATAGAAGATTAGCTAACCATTAATACTTACAAAAACGTAAATTAACACACAGCGGAACTTAAATTAAGTTTTATTAAGGTCATAAATTCCAATAAGAATAACTCAAAAACGAAAGAGCTGAGAGGACAAACGATAGTGATAAACTAGTTGAGGGAGTAGTAGCAGCATTATCAGTACTTTAAAAATCTATATACAGAACATAAATGGCTTTTAGCTACTTTATGATTTTTTTAATTCCAAATAAAGAGAAAAGGAAGACAGAAAAACATAGATTTATCTAGGAACTTTTTCTTCAACTTACCGTGACGGCCACCTGTCGAAGAAATCTCATAAGACATCCACAAATAAATAACAAGCTTTGGCGATTCTTTCTCCAGCCTCTAAAAATTGGCTGCACTGAGCATGCGTGTGACACGGTCAACGCAAATATAGCAAGACAACTTTATTAACGCAATAATATACTGAAAATGTTGCTGAAATAAAATATTATTAACAATTTAGGCACTTAAAAGAAAAAAGTAGAAGTTTCTTTAAAAACTGACGTACTATCTCGTCCGAAGGTTATTAGGACAACCAACATGGCGGCCCCCAGCGGCATTGCAATCACGTGTGATGAGTTTCTGGAATTTCAGGTTAGTGATAGTAAATGTCAATTTATAAATTAAAGCGATCGCTTCCATTAAGCTTTTTTGCAATGGAATTAAATTACTATACGATTTGCCTAGTAGTTTACTTAATTATCTTAGTACATTAAAAAAGATTAACATGTTACACACGCTCTAGTGTTCTTGGAGTACACGATGGCATCAATATGTTTATTCATTTTTTTCGTATATAGTTGATTATAATCTTAGATTAGTAAAAAAAACACTTTCCTTTTAAAGCTCATAAAGAACTAATTTTGGAAACTTCGTTACAAGCTTTTAAAGAAGCTCTCTCTCTCTACTTATGTGAAGTTGTGTTTTTGTTTTGTCTTTTCGTTTTTTTGCACTTACTTACACAATCCGATCAAATCAATCACCCTTTCCTTTATTCTTGGTAAATTTCTGTTAATATATTTCGAGAATTATTGTATATTCAGTCAAGTATTTTTAGACAAAACAAAATTGTGACCTGTTTTATTTTTTTTACCTCTTTCTTTTTTCCTCATGTATTGTCTCATTATTTTTGTTAATCAACAAATTTAAGCTTTCTCATTTTTAATTTTAAAATTGGTGTAATCAACATTAGGTTATTTTCTATTTTTCTAGGAGGTAGTGCGGGATCAAAATGTATGATAATTAAATTTAAGATTTCAAGCAACAATTGTGGAGTTGCTAATAATCCAACGACTACATAACCAGTTGTGGGAGGAATGTGACCTTCCAGTAGATAAGATTCTGAATAGATTGTAAGAGTTAATTCCCTTACGTGAAAGATTGTTTTTTGTAAATATAATAATTCTGTTTGGCAGAGGCAAATTTTACTTTATTTTACAGGATTAATAACATAAATATTGCTATTTAATAAAATTACAATAGCGTAATCCTCTCCCCCCCCTTTTTTTTGTTGGAAAGGAATGTCACCCTATCTTTATCACCTTCAGCACCTGACGATCTTTTCGATCTCATAACTGCTTCCTTGATTTTTATAATGTTGAGTATTTCAGGACACGAACAGGGAGTTAAGATGCAATTTATAAGCGTCGCTTTAAAAATAAACTTTCAAGTTATAAAACTAGTAACTACTTCTCTTAACAATCTGGGTTGGCCAAATATTTCTTGAATTTTACAGCTTTAGAAAATTCCATTCCATTTCTAGTCATTTCTATCATTATTTTATTTATAAATCTAGGTACCATCAACAAATGGATGCATTTTTTTTTTCCGAAATGAAAGCAAAAAATCGCTCTTAAAAATTGCCAAGAGTCCGAGAATTATCCGATGTAAACGAAATTTTCAATACTACTTCATTTCAATAATTGATAGGTTAAAACTTTGTGGAAATAAGTGAGTTCTACTTCACCCCTTTTTCGATATCTCTTGTGTACTTTTTAATTTTGGGGTGTTCATGAATTTTTTTTTTTTTTTTTTTTTTTTTTTACGCTTATGAAAAAAAAAATCACCGAAGATGTTATTTCAGTAAAAGAAAAAAAAATATTCACGAGTGTGAACATACTAAAAATTCTTCTCGAACCTTACCAAAAATAATTATGAAATTCAAAAAAATACTTTTTGGAGTTGGTGCACGCATAATTTTAAAAAACATTCATTATTTTCTATTTTATTTTTTAAAATTACTTGTAATTTTTTTCAGTGCGATTTTGAAATTCATCCCGTTGCTGATCGTAACAAAAGGGTTTTTGTTTGGGTGGAGTTTATTAAAAAGACAATTTAAGAATCGAAAAAATATAATGTTTAAACGTCATTTTCAAATGTGAAACTTTTTTTTTTTTTTTTACAATTTTATTTCTTTTTCTTCATTTTAGCAACTTAGATTATTTTTGGTATGAATGTTCAAAAAGAAAATAAGTGAATTACCGCTTTTGAGTGAATAATTCAATTTCAATAACTTAAATTAATAATTTAAAAAGATCACATTTAAATATTTTAAGATGTAAGAAAAGGTATTACGCAAAAGTTTAAGAGAGTTTAAAATAATTACCATTGTTAGTATCGTTGTAGTATAAAAAAAAATAAAATTATTCATTCTGCTAAGTTTCCTAAAACTAAAAGTGTATATAGAATATAAAAACTAGTTTCTTAAACTATTGCTTAGATAAGGTTAAAGATAATTTATTTCTATAAATAAATACCAATTTCTTGATTATTGCACTGTTAGTGATCTTTATCTCTTTTTCTTAATTTTTTTCCCACATTTTTAAGCGAAGGGTTATGAGAAAATTAGTGTTGTGACCTATGACTATGGTGGCGTGGAGCTTAGTGGTTAAAAATGAACAGTTGATTTACCCACGCCAGGAAGATTAATGAAGGATGACAAATAAGGAAACACATGAATAATTTAAACAAGACAAGTAATTTATTCACAAATTTACATTTTTTATTTTTTAATCATTTAACCCCCAAGCAAAGTGGGAATGCTACTAGTAGTACGAAGGGGGGTTACTGAGAGTGAAGGTGAAAGAAAAGACTGAGTATAAGGGAGACCAAGGAAAGGATAAAAGCTGAATGGAGTTCAAGAAGATAGATGACAATTGACATTGCATTTAAATTTTTGAAGATTGTAGTTATCAGGGAAGCAAGGAAACGGAGTTCCACAGGCAGGAAGTGTGAGAAAAGAAACTTTTGGCGCAGAAATGGCAGTTACATTTAACTAATTCAACAGTAAAAGGGTGGGACCTACATGCCAGTCTAGTAACATGTTTAAACTCATGTAGTCTGGGCACTGGGGTAAAAAAGCTTGTCAGAATAGTAGCCATGAAAATATTTGTAGAAAAGACAGAGGGAAGCTATGTCACATTAGTGAGAAAGTGACTGCCAAGTCAGGATTGATTACATTGCAGATCCTTCTTTGGATTTTGTCAAGAATCTCAAGATGAGTAACAGGAGCACCATACCAGATATGGCAACAGTATTCAATGCATGGATGAATGGTGGATTTGTAAATGTGCGAGATGAATTCTGACGAGAAAAACCTTTTGGCATGACACAGCAACCCAACTTTCCTTGCAGTAGATGCTGCTGCTTGAAGTATGACAATAGCTCATTTCAGGAAAATAAATCAGATTTCTTAAAGTCCAGTTTTAACATATTGCCAAGAAAGAGCAAATATTCATACAACAGATTAAATGATCTAACACAAAATAATATTCAAAATGTTTAAGACAAAGGTAAGAGTCTGTTGCTCACTAAAGGGATATTATATGATTTGAATACATTCAAAAGTAGATGAAGCGAAATAGTTTGAAATACTTAGCTTCCTTGGATTGTTGAAAGAAAATTCTTTGAAATGCTGGTTAGCAGCCAATAATATAATTATTCAATGTTGGTGGTGATGAACCAAAACAAACTTCACATTACTTCAGACACTCATTAATTTAATTTTTCTCCTCATTTCATATCAAAAAGAATTTTGTGTAGGCTCACTACTTTCTTTCCTTCTCCTTGGGTAATGGGATAATTTCTGTGATGGCAAGTTTTTCATTGGTCCAAAAACAATTTCACATAGTCTCAAATTCATTTCCTCCTCCTTCCTTAGTCCTCTGAATTTGAAGGGAGTAATTATTATTTCACACTCAATGTGATATCCCAGGTTACCAGGCATAAATAAATGTTATTTTCATTGTTTTAAATAAAAAGTAAGCATTATGCTTACAAAATCCAGTTAATTAATTCTTAAATTTACTAATTGACTTCTAAACTTCCCTATGATAAATATTGGATTTTAAAGAGATTTTTAATTTGGTTACATTTTTCATTCATAATGACAGTCCAATAAGTTGATGAGTGAACATGTTAGCATTTTAAAAATGCCTAAAAACTTTGTTTACATAGATTCATTTTTCTTTTAATATGGATTAGCTTTGGGCTAATATCTTTCAAATATAACCAAAATTTAATTTCAAAGCAGACATTTAATCTATTTAAAATGTGTGCGTTTTTTTTTTTCTTAGGAAGTCTATCAGTACCTGTAACAGTGGTTTTCTATTGCCTGCTATTAAAATATTTGTTCTGATTTGATAATCAGCTGTATTTATGTTTAATGAATTTCTAAAAGATTTTAAAACCTTCTTTAAGATTAGTGTTCATAAATGGAAATCTTAATTTTCTGGCAGTTCAAATTAATTTGATTTGTATTTATTGTAGCTGAGATATTTTTTAGGGATATGAAAATTGTCCCTAAGATTGAATCCCTGTCTAACAAAACATATTGGTAAAAATAATCTGACCACTGACCACAAACTATTCTTTGTAGCTCTTAGCAATGTTTGTTTTTTGTTATCTCTCCTAATCCCTGTTCTGCCACACATTTGCACAAGCTCATGAGGTAGGTTATTCACTTTTATTCACTGCTCTCCTCTGTTCATCTTGGCTTCAATATGATTAGTGTGTCAAATTTTCTAAGCCTTTTTTCTTCACGTGCCCTAGAAATTTCAAATTTTTCTTTTTTTAAAAGTTGAAATATATATATATAGGTACCTTTTCAAAAATTCACTAAAAAATGAGCATATATGATAAATAAATGCCCCAAACTTACTAAAAACGGTTTTATCAAAATCTTTAAGAGGAAAGACCAAAGGATTTTTTTTATTAATAATAAAGATTTGTATAAGCAATTTTAGCATCTTATGTGGTTAAAATATACATTGATTTGGAAATTCTTGCAAAAATC